GAAATACTGCATATTCTCACTCATAGGCGGGTGATGAAAAATGAGAACACATGGACACAGGGAAGGGAGTACTACACACTGGGGTCTATTGGGGGGAACAGGGGAGGGACAGTGGTGGGGGAACTGGGGAGGGAGAGCCTGGGGAGAAATGCCAAATGTGGGTGAAGAGGAGGAAGGCAGCAAAACACACTGCCATGTGTGTACCTATGCAACTATCTTGCATGTTCTGCACATGTACCCCAAAACCTAAAATGCAATTAAAAAAATATACAAGTGTATTCGACAGGGCACGGTGGCTCACGCCTGTAATCCCAGCACTTTGGGAGGCCAAGGCGGGTGGATCACGAGGTCAAGAGATCGAGACCATCCTGGTTATCATGGTGAAACCCCGTCTCTACTAAAAATATAAAAAATTAGCTGGGCATAGTGGCGCATGCCTGTAATCCCAGCTACTCGGGAGGCTGAGGCAGGAGAATTGCCTGAACTCAGGAGGCGGAGGTTGCGGTGAGCCGAGATTGTGCCATTGCACTCCAGCCAGGGTAACAAGAGCGAAACTCTTGTCTCAATTTAAAAAAAAAAAAGTGTATTCAATTATAGAAATAGAATGCCTAAGTTCTAAAACTGATACCAACAAAAAAGAAATTTTTTTTTTTAAATTGATCAATCCAAAAGAAGAAAAAAGCACAAAAACCCAGGGTAGTATCATATGTACATAGGTGTTCAACTTATTCTTCTTTAAATATAAGAAGGGTAAACAGGCCAGGCGCGGTGGCTCATGCCTATAATCCCAGCACTTTGGGAGACTAAGGTGGGTGGATCACGAGGTCAAGAGATCGAGACCATCCTGGTCAACATGGTCAAACCCCGTTTCTACTAAAAATACAAAAATTAGCTGGGCATGGTGGCATGTGCCTGTAGTCCCAGGTACTCGGGAGGCTGAGGCAGAAGAATTGCTTGAACCCAGAAGGTGGAGGTTGCAGTGAGCCAGGATCGCGTCACGGCACTCCCGCCAGGGTGACAGAGCAAGATTCCATCTCAAAAAACAAAATGTTAAAGGACTGTTTTCTCCAAAAATGTCAATGTTTTAAAAGACAAAAAAAGGCTGGCGAACTGTTCTAGATTAAAGGAGACTAAAGAGACATGCCAACGAAATGTAACAGGTGATCGTAGACTGGTGTCCTGGACAAAAAAATGAAGTCATAGAAGACATTATGGGTCAGTTGACAAAACCAGAATATGGAAGTTGGGTGCAGTGGCTCATGTCTGCAATCCCAGTACTTTGGGAGGCCGAGGCAGGCAGATCACCTGAGGTCAGGAGTTTGAGACCAGCCTGGTCAACATGGCAAAACCCAGTCTCTACTAAAAGTACAAAAATTAGCCAGGTATGGTGGTGGGTGGCTATAATCCCAGCTACTCAGGAGCCTGAGGCAGCAGAATCACTTGAACTAAGGAGGCAAAGGCTGCAGTGAGCCGAGATCACACCACTGCACTCCAGCCTGAGGGACTGAGTGAGACTCCATCTCAAAAAAAAGAAAAATAGAATATGGAAAACCAGATCATGGTACTTATACCAAAGTTAAATTTTTGCAATTGATAAATGAATTGTGGTTATGTAAGAGAAGACCTTTATTCTTAGGAAATACGTACTAAAGTATTTAGGGGTAAAGGGCCAGCATATATGCAATTTTTCTCAAAGTTTTGGAAAAACAAAATGTCTCTCTATACATACATATACACATATATACATACACAAATAGCAAATGATAAAAGCAAACTAACAAAACGTTAACAAAAGGTAAACTTGGATAAAGAGTAGGTAGGTATTCTTTGTATCATTATTGTAATTTTCTGTAAATCTGAAATTATTTACAAAGAAATTTTCTTTTAAGTAAAAGGATAAGCCAGGTGTGGTATATACAGAAATATACATGAAGAAAAAAAAATCTGAACCTGTTGAAACCTCTAAATCTAACTTTCATTATTAAAAAGTTTAAGGAGGCCAGGTATGGTGGCTTACGCCTGTAATCCCGGCACTTTGGGAGGCTGAGGCAGGAAGAATCGCTTGAGTCCAGGAGTTTGAGACCAGCCTAAGCAACATGGCAAAACTGTCTCTACATAAAATACAAAAATTAGCTGTGAGTGGTGGTACACACCTATAGTCCCAGCTACTTGGGAGACTGAGATGGGAAGATCACTTGAGCCTGGAAGGCAGAGGCTGCAGTGAGCCAGCTGAGATCATGACACTGCTCTCCAGCCTAGATGACAGAGTGACACCCCCTCTCAAAATAAAAAAAGTAAAAGGATAAATGATATACTTTGAATGTTTAAAATGACAAATGTTATACTAGACATATTTTATCATAATTTTTTTAAAAGGTATCTAAAAGACTGGCTGGGCACAGTGGTTCACGCCTATAATCCCAGCACTTTGGGAGGCTGAGGCGGGTGCATCACGAGATCAGGAGTTTGAGACCAGCCTGGCCAAGATGGTGAAACCCCATCTCTACTAAAAATAAAAAAAAAATTAGCTGGCTGTGGTGGCACGTGCCTGTAGTCCCAGCTACTCGGGAGGCTAAGGCAGAAGAATCGCCTGAACCCAGAAGGTAGAGGTTGCAGTGAGCCAAGATTGCGCCACCGCACTCTACCCTGGGTGACCAAGTGAGACTCCGTATTAAAAAAAAAAAAAAAAAAGATTTAAGAACTTCTCTCTATGCAAAAACAAAAAGCCAAAGACAGATAAAGATATACTGGAAAGATACTAACCCAAGAAAGCAGGTATACTACTAATACAGAGAAAAATAGACTTCTAGAGAAAAGCTTTATTAGAAAGAAAGAAAGTCACTTCATAATGTTTCATTGACTCTGAAGTTTCTAATCCTGCATGGTCCATCATAGTAGCCATTAGCCACATGTAACTATTTAGATTTAAACTGATTACGGCCAGGTGCGGTGGCTCATGCCTGTAATCCCACAGTTGAGGAGGCCACGGTAGCCAGATCACCTGAGGCCTGGTGTTTGAGACCAGCCTGGCCAACATGGTGAAACCTCATCTCTACTAAAAATACAAAACTTAGTGGGGCATAGTGGCACGCACCTGTAATCCCAGCTATTCAGTAGGCTGAGGCAGGAGAATCCCTTGAATCCAGGAGGCAGAGATTACAGTGAGCCAAGATCAAGCCACTATACTCCGGCCTGGGTGGCAGAGCGAGATTCCACCTCAAAAAACTAAAATAAACTGATTGCAATTAAATTAAATATTTACATCCTCAGTTATATTAGCCACATTCCAATTACTTAATTGTCACGAATGACAATCATACTGAAAGGTGCAGAAAAGAATTTTTCCATCATTGCAGAAAGTTCTACTGGATGGTGCCATTAAACTATTTTAACCTTCTAACAAAATGGCCAAAAAATATATATACAATAAAACCAATATGATTAACAGTTTTAAACAATTCACCATCATAGTGGTAGATTTTAGCACACCTCTCTCAGTAGTAGATCAAGTAGACAAAAACTACTGAGTTTACAGAAGATGTGAACAATACAATTAGCAAGGTCAATTTGGTGAAATATGTAGAATCCAGTTAAGAATACAAATTCTTCTTAATCACACATGAAACACATAAAATATGACCATCTACTAAGCCATAAGGAAGTTTCAGTAAACTGCAAAGATTCAGAATCATAGAAACCATGCTCTTTGGCCACAGGGGAATGAAGGCAGAAATATAAAACAAACAAAAAAATAACTAAACAAAGAAACATTGTTTGGAAATTAAAAATATATTCTTCTGAAAAACAAAGAAATAATCATAGAAATTTTAAAATTCTCAGAACTACACAATAATAAAAATAATACATAATAAAAACTTATGGAACATCCCCAATGTCCATCAACAGCAGAAAGTAAACACATCCATACAATGGAACATGGCTCAGCAAAAGCAATGAATAAACTAACGATAGCCCTGACCACCTGGATTAACCCCCACAGACAGGATGCTTTGTGAAAGACAACAGACATAGCAGAATACTGTATGATTCCATTTATATGATGTTCAAATACAGACAAATATCTATGGTGATAAAGGTTAAAAATAATGGTTTCTCCTGGAAGAAGACATTGACTGGAAAGGGGGCATGAAGGAGACAGCCTTCCACAATCCTGGAAATGTTCTGTATTTTGATGGGGGTGTGAGGGAGGTAGATACAAGGGTGTATACAAATACAATTATTTGTGAAGCCTTATAATTAAGATTTGTGCACTTTACTGAATACTAGTTATATCCCAATCTAAAGAATCTTTTAGGGCGGGCGTGGTGGCTCACACCTGTAATCCCTGCACTGTGGGAGGCCCAGGCAGATGGATCACTTGAGGTCAGGAGTTTGAGACCAGCCTGGCCAACATGGTGAAACCCAATTTCTACTAAAAATACAAAATTAGCTGGATGTGATGGCACACACTTGTAGTCCCAGCTACTCAGGAGGTTAGGACAGAGAATCGCTTGAATGTGGGAAGCGAAGGCTGCAGTGGGCCGAGATAGCGCCACTGCACTCCGGCCCGGGCAACAGAGTGAGACTCCACCTCAAAATAAATAAATAAATAATAAATAATGTGTGTGTGTGTGTGTATATATATATATATATATATATATATATATATATATATACATATAAACTTTATAGGATGCTGCTAAAGCAATATTTAGAGGGAAATGAATAGTCTTAAATACTTTTACTTAAAAAACAGTCTGAAAAGACTAAAAATCAAGCACCCTCCTTGAAGTTAGAAAAAGAAAATAGAACAAATTCATAGAAAGTTGAAAGAACTCATGAGAGCAGAAATTAATGAAACTACACTCATGCTTTCTCACCCTTCCTAGGAGCTGATCTTTTTCTTCATATCTATATTCTGTCCAAAGGTCCTCTCCTTTCCCTCTCTTGCCACCCCAAATCTCACCCCGATCTCCGATTTCCTCTCCCTAGTTCCTCACTCTGGCTGTAGAAACTGGAGAAACGGTCAAGGGCATCACAGAATTCTGTGGGAAGGCACTTTCTGGGATGGTACAGGTAGCAGAGTGGGGAGACCGGCCAGCAGCGTGGTGACAGGACCAGTACAGAAATGGCTGGACTTGGATCTTCGATAAACAGTTCTTTCTCAGCTTCTTCTTCCTCCTCTTCCTCCTGAGGGACAGAAGGATTTCAAGGGCCCTTGCGCTCCCTTCTTTGGTCTAGTCTCCTTACTGTCCTTTCTCCCTGCTCTTACCTCCTCTTCCTCCAGTCCCTTTTCCTCCTTGTCTTCCTGCTCCAAGAACAACTTGTCGAGCCGCTGGAGCTGGAAGAGGTGGAACTGGAGCTGCAGCTCCTCAGAGGTGCTCAGGCTCCGCAGCATCAGCTGGGGGAGGCGGTTGGGAAAACAGAGGCCAATCTGCTCTAGCACAGCCTCCTCCAGCCAGCTTGAGCCAAAGCTCAGGAGACGGTCCGCCATGTAATGCCTGCAGCACACAGACCGGGCCAAGCCTCAGTGTGGGTGCCAGCGTGGCCCAGACTCCCCCTTGAGAATATAGGTCCCTTTGTTACAAACTGCCTGAGTCACAGGCCCTTCCTCACCTCTTCTTTCCCACTCCCTTTCCACCAATGTATGATCATCTCCACGTTTTTTTTTTTTTTTTGGAGACCAAGTCTTGCTCTTGTCACTCTAGGCTGGAGTGCAATGATGTGGTCTCAGCTCACTGCAACCTCTACCTCCCGGGTTCAAACAATTCTCCTGCTTCAGCCTCTCAAGAAGCTGGGATTACAGGCGTCCACCACCATGCCTGGCTGATTTTTGTATTTTTAGTAGAGATGGGATTTTACCATGTTGGCCAGGCTGGTCTTAAACTCTTGACCTCAGGTGATCCACCCACCTCAGCCTCCCAAAGTGCTGAGATTACAGGTGTGAGCCACCACACCTGGCTAGCCATCTCCACATCTTAATCTCTCCTCTGCACAGCCTCTTCCCTCATCTCCCCTAAAGACTCAACTCTTCCCACTCTCTCAACTAGGTCTCCATCCCCCACCCCTCCAGACCTGCACTCACTGATAGAAGTGCTCAAAAGTTGTGGCCAGTTCCAGACCAGAAAGGACCATGATGGGTTCTAGGTGCCGCTGAAGCTGCCCCAGCATTTCCACTCCAGGGGCTCCACCAATCAGGCCACCCTGGATCTGTTGGTCAATGTACCTGGCAAACTGCTCACTCATCTGGGAGCAATGGAAAGGGCATGTGCAAACCATGAATGAGGGAATGGAGTAGGAGACTAGGGAGGGAAAGGAAGTGAAAGGGCAGGGCAGAAAGAGATGAACTTGGAACATGAGCTTACAGCCCTGTGGGGAGCTGGTGGGACTCACGTGAGCAGCAGTGAGGAAGGACTGCTGCAGCAAGGCGCCAGAGAAGCCGCTGTGCAGAGCTAGCGTGAAGGCTGCCCGAGGCCCAAACAGCTCTGAGCCTGCTCTCTGCAAGTGCTCATAGAGTTTACAGTAACGAGGCACAAAGTCTGGGGCCCTCCAGGCTGCAGCCAGAAATCTGCCGACCTGAGGAGAGGCAAGAAATGCCATAAAGGGAGCAGCCCCTCCCCTCCACAGACTTCAGCTTGCTTCTGCCTACCTGCTCCTGCACCACGCTCAGCCAGCACTGGGTTATGTTCCTCAGGCTGCTGCTGGGAAGCACTGGTAATGGCGCCGGGCTCCGCTCCCGACCCTTACTGTTCTTGCTGACTGTGGAGACAGAAGAAGAAAGGAGCTTCATCTCAGCCACTGGGTGAATCCATCAGTCTTGGGTAGTGATCTCCTGGAAAGGCCAAGAGGTCTCAGGGGCCTGGAAAGGCCAGCAGCAAAGCACCTAGAGTAAAAGGCAGGGAGGAAGAAGCCAGATGCACCATTCCCCGTAGCCTCAGCTCCACTGGCCATAGCTGGGACTTACAGGGCCGAGCAGATGGCTCAGGAGGAAGCCCCGGAGGAGGCTCCACATGCACCAGCAAGTGGCAAAGCCGACGGACGCGAGAAGCAAAGGACGCTGCTCTACTCAGGGGGTTCCGCGAGCTCTCTCTCTGTTCTAAGTACTGATCCAGCAGCCACCCCAGGGCACTCACACCTTCTGCATCTGAAAGAAGACAGGTTATGAACAGGTCTCCATGGGAGATGGGAGACCAGACAGCCCAGGGCAGAGGAAGGAGAAAAATCAATTGTACAAAAAGGCTTGAGGGGCAGCAGCACCCTAGTCCTCCCCTCACCAAGGTGTGCTTCAGCTGGAGTCTGGGGAGATGGTAACAGGGCGGGGATGGGGTTGTGGGGAAGATTCAAATACCAGAGTCTCAGGGAGCAGTGCCTGGGGCAGGAAGGTGAGAGGAACATTGAGGTGACAAGCCTTCAGGGATAAAGACAGGAATCAAAAGAACCAAGAGCATTAACTCAGGTGATCCCTGAGAAGGACAAGGAGCTGGTTAGTGGGGGAAGGTGTCAGCATGGTTACCAGGAGAGGTGATGTTCTGCACCAGGGGGCTGACCAGGGCCTCCCAGCAGGTCTTGCCCAGTGCTTGGGCGGCCTCATCGTCAGGGAGGAAGCGGTCAGCAAAATTCTGCTCATGGCGCAAAACCCTGTTCAGTCTAGGAACAAACAGTGCATGGTGGAGGATTAAAGGCACTGGATTTCCCTAAGGCCTCCATCCAAGTGCAAATCAGCTCCCAGCCACCCTGGTTTGGTCCCTGATCCAACTCTTTCCAATCGACACACACTTCTCACCTATGTTCACCTTCCCCCTCCTGTCCTGGCTGCAGCTTTCCCTTCTGGACTCCCACAGAAGCATCCCTCCCACCACCTACTTCTTACAGTGTCCTGTTCCCTTACCCATATTCCCTCCTCAGGCCCCACCCACCTGGGACAGAGCTGGAGGAGGCGGCGGCGGTCCTCTGCTATGTCCTGGCTCCAGGCTTGTGCCCGAATTGTGTAAAAGAGACATGTTCGGCGACACAGCTGCTCCCGGAACAGTGGCCAGAATGTGGGCTTAGGACCCAGGACCTCCACACCCCGAACCCGGGTGTCAATGCCACCCTGCAACAGCAGAGACTTAGCTGTCTTGTCACCTAAGCCACTGAGCCACTAGGTACTACCAAAGCCAGGCCTCCTGCCCTGAGCTCCCTAGAACTGCTCAGGACGTCCCCACATCTCTGGGACTTAACAGGTCCCTGGGCCATCTCCCAAGTGGACCAAGGAGAAACGCTGGCTAAAGCCCTGGCCTCTAGATATTAGAGAACCCAGATACTCTGGAGACCCTGTGCCACCTCCTCCTCCTCAGCCCGGGCTGACGCCCTGGCCCCACCTGCTGGCAGCGCTTTATGCGGATCTGGATGATGGGCCAGAAACGGTTCAGGTTCTCCAGAAGGACCACCCGGCTGGCAGAGGGCATCACATTCACCTGGCAGGGCAGGGGAGAAGAGGGAGAGGAAACAGCTGTCACCTCCAGAAACAGGGTTGGAAAAATTGTTGATGGTAACCAAGTTGGTCCTGGTGTGTGCCCTTCACTTCTCCTGCAGAGCCCAGGATCTATGTGGCTCCATATCCCTAATCCCACTCTTACTGCTTACAAGGCAATGCCTTCCCAGGAGGAAGGGATGTCACCATCCCCCAGGGACTAGGTCCTCCCTATGGGCACTGGGACAAAAAGGATGTGGAGCAAGGCGAAGTGGGGCACAAGGGTCCCCACCGTGTTGAGCTCAGTGCTGATGCAGCTGGTGCTGTCACCCCCAAACACCACCACTCTGGCTGGCATGTAGCTTGAGTCCTCACTGGCCACCAGCAAAGTGAGCTGCCTGGGAAGGGAGAAAGGAAGCAATCAAAGCTGGGCCTCTGCACGTGGCAGCTCACACCTCTAATCCCCACACTTTGGGAGGCTGAGGTGGGAGGATTGCTTGAGGCTAGTTTAAGATCAATCTGGGCAACATAGCAAGATCCCACCTCTACAATATAAAAATGAAAAGAAAGAAAGAAAAAGGCCAGAGCTCTGGTTTTAGTTGAAAACTATTTCAACCCACCACTTCTTTCTCAGGCTCCTGTTCCTCTGCTGGCTCCTGATGTAACTGTCCCCACTACACCCTCTGCTCTTTCCTTTATATTCCCCCAAAGTGGCTAAATTTAAACCCACAGTTTCAACTGAAAATTAATCCACAGAGGACTCCAAATCCACATCTCTAGCCCAGGCCACTCTCCTGAGTTTTCATGCTGTGTCCCCATGTCATGTCCCACAGGCACTTCAAAGTCAACATGCTCAAATGAAATGATCATCTGTCCACATAAACCTGCCCCACTTCCTATTTCTCTCCTGGAAAATAAAACTTTGTGCACCCAGTACTCAACTAGAATACGATCACTGTGGTCTTCGCCTTCTCGTGGCTTCCCTCACCCAAAGGCAAGTCGTGCGGGCTCCTAAGGACTTCCCAGTCCACTCCCACTCCTGCTGACCAGCTGAACACATGGATCCTTTCTCTACTAGACCACTGCATAAACCTTCCACCTCTTTCTTCCGACTCCCAGCCAAACTCCCATAATTGCCAGAGTGAGCTTTCTCAATAAAAAATCTAGTTTTTGGCCAGGCACGGTGGCTCATGCCTGTAATCCCAGCACTTTGGGAGGCCAAGGCAGGTGGATCACGAGGTCAGGTGTTCGAGACCAGTCTGGTCAAAATGGTGAAACCCCGTCTCTACTAAAAATACAAAAATTAGCCAGGTGCAGTGGTGTATGTCTGTAGCACTCCAGCCTGGGCAACAGAGTGAGACTCAGTCTCAAAAAAAAAAAAAATCTAGTTTTCTCTCTTCCCATCTTAAAATGTTCCAATGGCTCTCCAAGCTTTGGAATAAAGTTCACACTTCTTAGTCACCAAACACTTTGTGATCCACCTTTGCTACTTTTCTGGCTTGTATCTTCTGCCGTTTTGATATACACAGCTTTCACTGCAGCCAGACATGATGGCTTCAAGTCCCTCCAAATATTGTTTCTTACTTCCATTTTGCACATATGTGGTCCTTGTGCCTAGAATATTGCCCCCTATTTATCTACCTAATTTCAATGTCAAAACTCAGCTCAGTCACCCCTTCTTTCCAGAAGGAAGCCTGCTCTGATGCCTCAGCCTCAGGTCCACATGTGGACCACAGTGCTTTTTCTTACTCTGTGCTCTTGATTTTCTAGTGTAGCTCCCCAGCTGGAATGCAGGGGCCATATCTTATTGTCCTTCTATTTCCAGACCCCTGCACAGTGCCTGGCACAAATGCTCACAAGAGAAATGGGTGAGCTGTGGATCTTCCCTCAACACTAAGCAAGGCCGGTGACATCTGTACCTGCTGGGGGACAGTCACCAGATTCCAGGCTGAGAGGATGTCTATACTCAGCTCAGCAAAGGCAGGTCAATGTGTCTATGTGTTCACTGCACAAATTAGGTTTGAGTGTGTCCCTCCAGTATGGGGGTGACAGCTGGGGTTGTGTGTATCTGGGTGCTTTAGGGAAGTATTCTGGGGCACAGCAGTACATTCCCATCTGTGTGTTCACACCTAACAAGAACACCATGGTGCATGTGCAGGGTGATGTGGTGGGAGCCGGTGCTGCCGTTGGACTCCCAGTAGGTTTTGGGGTTGTGGTCCGTCAGCTTGCTGGCCCGGTGCGGGTTGGAGGACACCTCCACCTTCTCCCAGCACTTGTCCTCCTTCACTTCCACACTGGAGCCTGGGGGCAAGCGGGAAGGTGTGGTGGTCACAGCCACGTTAATTGAGAGAGAAAAAAGGAAAAAGGTCTAGGGAGCAGGAAGGGAAGGGGTGAATAGACATTGGACGGGAGCCAAAAGAAAGCAGATAAGGGCACTAACCTTGGCAGAGATGCCTGAGGAACACATCAAAGAAGGGGATATTGATGGGTTGGTGGGTTCGTCTGTGGTCTTCGATCTGGCCCAGCACCATCTGCAGCAGGAACATAGGAGAGGGAGGAGGAGGAACACAGAGAAACACCCAGAAACAGGCAGAGAGAAAAAGTCACGGGTCAACAGAACACTCAACTTCTCTCTCCCAAAATTTTGACAGAACTACGTGGAGTCAAGGTTAGGAAACAAGTGCCCCAGATTTGCTACTACCTATACCAAACAGGGACACCAAACAGGAATACCAAACAGGGACACCAAACAGGGATACCAAACAGGGACACCAAACAGGGACACCAAACGGGTATACCAAACAGGGACACCAAACAGGGACACCAAACAGGGACACCAAACAGGGACACCAAACAGGGACACCAAACAGGGACACCAAACAGGTACACCAAACGGGGACACCAAACGAGTATACCAAACAGGGACACCAAACAGGTACACCAAACGGGGACACCAAACGGGGACACCAAACGGGGACACCAAACAGGGACACCAAACACGGATACCAAACAGGGACACCAAACAGGGATACCAAACAGGGACACCAAACAGGAATACCAAACAGGGACACCAAACAGGGACACCAAATGGGTATACCAAACAGGGATACCAAACAGGGATACCAAACAGGGACACCAAACAGGGACACCAAACGGGTATACCAAACAGGGACACCAAACAGGGACACCAAACAGGGACACCAAACAGGTACACCAAACGGGGACACCAAACGGGGACACCAAACGAGTATACCAAACAGGGACACCAAACAGGTACACCAAACGGGGACACCAAACGGGGACACCAAACAGGGACACCAAACACGGATACCAAACAGGGACACCAAACAGGGATACCAAACAGGGACACCAAACAGGAATACCAAACAGGGACACCAAACAGGGACACCAAATGGGTATACCAAACAGGGACACCAAAGAGGAACCCATTGACTCCCTTCCCCTAATTCTGACTTACATTCTCTTAGCCGCACACCTGCAGCTGCTCCTCACCTGAATGCAGCCGGCCAGAATGCTGGAGGTGAGGTTGCTATAGAGTTGTGCATACTTCTCACACTCTGTCACCAGGTCCTGAAGCTCACAGCCCAGCAGCAGCTGAGCTGAGTGCTTGTCCAGGACTTTGGAGAGGACCTCTTTTGCTCCCAGGCAGCAGAGCACCACAGCATAGTCCTTATGCATCGAGGCCAGGCGATGTAGGAAGCAGGTCAACTCCTGAACAATCTGAGCCCAGAGCCACAGAGATGAATTTACAGGAAACAAGGGGCAGAACATGTAAGGACTGAGGAGAGGGCACAGTAAAGGAAGCATAGTGGCTGAGATTTTGGAGACATGCAGAAGCCCAGGGAAAGAAGAGCACCAAAATCTGGGTGGAGTAAGATAGAGGGGTACGAGGACTCCTGAGTGAGTTGGCAGGAAGAGAGCTCGGGCACAGCTTTCCAGGCTGCTTCCTGCCAGGCCAAGCTATGTTAACCCTGGTGCCTGAGCCTTTCTCTCCAATGCACAAACCCTGAAGGGAGGAGAGCTGTTTGGATTGGTGAATGTGGGCTTCACCTTTATCCAGAATCTAAAATCCAGGTTCATCTAAGAGGTTTATACTCAAAGATCCCAGTTCTGGAGATTCTTAGATGATGTTACCCTTCCTCTTCCTATGCCCATCCCAGTGCCCGAAGATTCATTCAGAAAGGCTTTGCTGTGCCCTCCAGAGCCTCACAAAGAAGTTGGTGCCCCAGGTGCTGCCTTCCCCTCCCTGCCCCTTGCCAGGGCTCTGGTACCTCACAGTCACTGCTAGAGCCACTCAGGCAGTTGAGGCAGGGCTCCAAGACCTCATGCCAAGGGAGGACCACTGCCTCAGGGAAATCCAGCAGTCGGGTCATGACCCTGGTGAGGGGATAGAACAAGTGAAGTCCCTGAAGTCTGCCAGTTCCCCTCATCCCAATGCATGCGCCTCAATAGGCCCCTCACCTTAGCACAGACAGCAGCAGAGTCTTATTGGGCCCCGGAGCATCCAGAGTCCGAAGCAACAGGAGGAAAGGCTGGGTTTCCTGCTGGAGGCGCTTGAGGAGGGGCCTCACGGCACCCCCAGGGCTGCCCTCATGGCATAGCATGCGCTCCAAGTCCAGGAGTAGTTCTGCAGATGGGCCCCCCACCAGGGACTGAATCAGTAGCTCAGGGGATCCATCCTGACCCTGGATGATGGGGGTCTCCAGTGCTGCAGCCAGACACATCAGAGGGAAAAATGTGGATGAAGAGTCTTACGAGTTTGTCAAACTGAGAACTGGGAAGATCCATAAAATCACCCCCAAATTTTCCTTCCATATTGAGGGTATTTTCAGTTGTTAACCAAACTATGAGGAATTTTCTTTCCTGGCCCCAAATACAAACCTAACCACATTTGAAAGGAAACCTAGTAGAGCAAACATTGTCAAGTTAAACACAGGACATTTTAAATCTTTTTTTTTTTGAAACAGAGTCTTGTTCCAGGCTGGAGTATAGTAGCGCAATCTCGGCCCACTGCAGCCTCTGCCTCCTGGGTTCCAGCGATTCTCCTGCCTCAGCCTCCTGGGTAGCGGCGATTGCAGGCACGCACTACCATGCCCAGTTAATTTTTCTTGTATTTTTAGTAGAGACGGGGTTTTGCCATGTTGGCCAGGCTGGTCTCAAACTCCTGATCTCAAGTGATTCACCCACCTCAGCCTCCCAAAGTACTGGGATTACAGGCGTGAGCCACTGTGCCCAGCCAACATTTAAAATCTTATAGTCGTATTACTGTTAGCAATAGTAAATATTAGATTTGATGATTACATCCCTGTACTACCTGCATGGTGGCTTTAGGTTCACGGACTAAAAGATACATACATATTTCCTATTTCTTTTTTTTTGAAACGGAGTCTCACTCTGTCACCCAGGCTGAAGTGCAGTGGCATGATCTCTCAGCTCAATCCTGAGCTCAAGCGATTCTCCTGCCTCAGCCTCCCAAGTAGCTTGGATTACAGGCACCTGCCACCACACCCAGCTAATTTTTGTATTTTTAATAGGGACTCAGTTCCATGTTGGCCAGGCTGGTTTCAAACTGCTGACCCCAAGTGATCTGCCTGCCTCAGCCTCCCAAAGTGCTGGGATTAAAGGCTTGAGCTATTGCACCCAGCCACATATTTCCTATTTCAACATCCCTCCATACTTCTAGGTTTACACTTGTTTCTCAATCACAAAGGGTTTCTTCCCCAGTATCAATATTTCATGTTTCTAGGCACAAACGTTCTGTACCATAAATTATAATTCCTTTTAAGAAGGCCTCCCTATTCTGTGAAGAGAAAGTTAAGCTTAAAAGAAAAAAGAAGAAAGGCCTTGCTAGATATCATGTCAATGAATCTTCTACTGTCCAATAATACTGGGCCAAACCTAGCCCAGACAGATGGGAATCCACATGTTTAAAGGGATTCAATAAGGCGATTTCCAGCCAGGCGCTGTCGCTCACACCTGTAATCCCAGCACTTTGGGAGGCCAAGGCAGGTGGATCTCCTGAAGTCAGGAGTTTCAGACCAGCCTGGCTAACATGGTGAAACTCTGTCTCTACTAAAATACAAAAATTAGCTGAGCATGGTGGCAGGCACCTGTAATCCCAGCTACTTGGGAGGCTGAGGCATGAGAATTGCTTGAACCCGGGAGGTGGAGGTTGCATTGAGCTGAGATCACACCACTGCACTCCAGCCTGGGCGACAAGAGCAAAATTCCAACTTAAAAAAGAAAAAGGAAGGCAATTTCCTTGCACATATTCCACAGTCTCCCTCTTCTTGGTCAGAAGTTCTACTTAAGACCTAACTTGAGCACCACAATGCTTACTCATTTCCTGAAGTTTCCTTGTATCTTTCCAGTAAGAAGCTGCTATGTAAACCTTAGCCTTCCTGGTCACTGGCTGGCCCTGTGTGATTCCTCTGCAAAACCACCCCTCCAGAATGGTACCTGCATGCTCAGGGCTGCCCTGTGGCTCTGAGTAACGATTGAGAAGCATCATGAGGATAGTGCGTGTGGTAGGCATAGGCTCTGTCCCCGGTGCTATCCCTGAGTGCCTAAACAAGGTGTCTCTCAGCTCTCGGGTTATAATCTGGTCTCCCAGAGTGTGGTGGTTGCACAAAAGCAGGTTGAGCAGGAGCAATCCATTTCTTACTGCAGAAGAGCACCTGGGAGGAGGGGGGTGACCAGAAAGAAATCGAGAGACCATGAATGCAATGGAAGCAGCAAAGCAAGCACAGAGGGCCAGGCAGCTGGGGAGCAAAGGGCTCCAGTGGGCCCTCTGAGCCAGGACATCTGATCCTCTGACCTCAGGCCACTCCTCCCAAACCCATAAAGGAAGCTCAGAGTCTCTCTGCCCTCTCTGGGAATCTTCCTATCCCCAACCCACTTGGTTTCTCTTCAAACGACAGTTGCAGGGCCACCAATGCTTAATCCGGAGTTGACAACATGAGGGGAATTTCTGTGGAGCACAGGAGTAGCAGGGTTTGGGACTAAGCAGGATCCCAGAGTTGGGAGGGTAATGCCCTGACCCCTCAGTGTTCAGCATCAGGATCACAGCTGCAGGGACAGTGAGGAGCAGGCTCTCAGAGCCTGGGCGTGTGGCTGAGTCGATGCTGGCGAAGATCTCTCTGGTCATCTGAGCATCAAACAAAGAGTGGGTAGAATCTCGGCCAGTAACAAAAGAGGGGATCTCCGAGGAGCTGGTGACGGCGAGCATCTTCAGTGCCTGTGAGGAGGATGTGAAAGGAGAGTGAGGAGCGGACAGAGCCACCATGAGGAAAGGGGAAGCCAGGGCCTCATTCTACACCTCAAACTTGGGAGCAGCTGGCTGTTTGCAAATAGGGAGAGTAGGAGACAGAAATGGAAGAGATATTGATGGGACATCAAATGCTACAAAGAGAGGGAAAGAGGGAGGATGGAAAAGAAAAAAGAAAAGAAACTAAACAACAACAACAACAAACCCTGAGACTGGATGGTAAGATCAGCCTTCTACTCCTCTCTGCCCCTGGGCTCGCAGCACCATGACTACTGGAGTGGAACACCCGCCTCTCCTGCATCTTCCCCTCAGGATGGTGCCCCTCGCAGCATCTAGTTGTCTTTAGGGGCTTCTTACAGTTGTCTCGCACCTCACTTGCACTCCTTCCTTTGCAAAATCTTTCCCCTGAGTTCCATGACTTCACATCCTCCTGGCTTTTCTCCTACCTCTCTGGTGTTCCTTTGCCTGGTACTCAAACACTGAGGATCCTTGTCCCCTTTCTCTGGACTTTGCACTCCCCCACACCGAGGCAACCAGGTCCATTCCCATTGCTTCAATTCCCACCAATATGTCAAGTCTCCAAAACCTGGGTCTCCTGGCCCTAGCCAGTATCCAACCCTTCTATGTAAGACTTCTTGGTTGTCTCACAGGCAGTGGTTAGCATTATGGAAAAATAATCATAATGTGCAAACCTGTTTGCTGGTACTGTAGAGAAAAATTAAATTAAAATAGACACAATACAATCAGAGGGGAGAATGTCTCTCCTGGTGAAGGGTTGATTTTCTACAAGAAACACACTAGAGATGGACTGGGCTAGAAATAATTCTCAGGACAATCCTTCTTGTAAGGCCTGTAGTTATACCACCCTCCCCCAGTTAGCTTAACTAATTAACAAGATGATGCAATTTTATTTCAGGGCAAGACTTCAAATTTAAGGGCAATGCTAATTTTTTTTTTTTTTTGAGATGAAATCTCGCTCTGTTGCCCAGGCTGGAGTGCAATGGCATGATCTCAGGTCACTGCAACCTCTGCCTCCTCAGTTCAAGCGATTCTCCTGCCTCAGCCTCCCGAGTAGCTGGGATTACAGGCATGCACAACCATGCCCGGCTACTTTTGTATTTTTAGTAGAGACAGGGTTTTACCATGTTAACAAGGCTGGTGTAGAACTCCTGACCTCAGGTGATCCACCCATCTTGGCCTCCCAAAGTGCTGCGATTACAGGCATGCACCACCATGCCTGGCTAATTTTCTACTTTTCGTAGAGATGGGGTTTCACCACATTGGCAAGGCTGGTCTCAAACTCCTGACCTCAGGTGATCCAGCCACCCTGGCCTCCCAAATTGCTGTGATTACAGGCGTGAGCCACCACACCCAGCCAGTTTTATTTATTTTATTTTTTGCCATGATCTAAAGTGGATGGCAATTGCTCTATTTTGGTCATGTCATTTGAGAAGATCAGGGAATTCTTTGAGCATAATGATCTAGATTATAAATGCCTGGCTGCTCTTGGTCCCATAAAGAAAATGCATCTCTGGGCCTCTCCTGGGACAGCCTGCTCTAAGAGGACATGTGCTCCTGTTCATGCTGCTGCCATTATACTACTGGAATCCATTCTCAGAACTGCTCTGGCCGAAGCCTACCTGTTTCCCTCAGGAACCCTCAGGCTACGAAGAGCTCCTCTGCCCATACCACCCTATCAGCTAGCACTTCTGTCTGGAGTAACCAGGAAGCCAATTCCTCTGTAAGCTACTCTGGATAAGGGTTTTCCTTCCCAATTCACTGAGCGATGGCAATGCTGGCTTTGTTTTACCCAAATCTAGCAACAGAGAATTTTCTATGTAAGGGTAGCACTAAGAGAAAAGAGGGAAAAAATACTTCTAGTTTAATGGTCACATCTAGAAAATTAGTTTTCAACCAGACACCTAATCATAACTGAAAAGGCAGGAACACTCAAAATACCTGAAAACTCAACTCCTGACCTTCTCCCCATATCTCCTCCTCCTGCAACATTCTCTCAATAAATGGCCACTTCATGTACCCTGCTGCTTAATTTTACACCTGGGAGTCATTCCTAAAAACTTCTGGCCTGGGCCAGGCATGGCGGCTCATGCCTGTAATCCCAGGAGGTTGAGGCAGGAGAATCCCTTGAACCTACAAGGTGGAGGTTATAGTGAGCCGAGATAGCACCACTGCACTCCAGCCTAGGTGACAGAGTGAGACTGCATCTCAAAACAAACAACAAAACCTCCTGGCCTGGCACAGTAGCTTATGTCTGTAATCTCAGCACTTTGAGAGCTAAAGTTGTAGGATAACTTGAGCTCAGGAGTTCAAGATCAGTCTGGGCAACATAACAAGATCCTGTCTCCACCACAAATAACCCCAAAATTCCCTTTTTCCTTTCTCCAAACACTCAATCCCCAAGAATGTCCAGATCAAACTCTTAAATCCATCTGCATCTTTCCATTCCAAAGTTTACTCACTGGTCTGAAGCACCAAAGTAGCTCATCAAGATCAGTAGTCCCCAGTCAGCCTGTCTTGCCCATTGTTCTCTCCCACCAGGCCCAATATACTCACCGCCAGCCCAGCCTGCTGTACCAAGACAGAAGTCTTATATTCTTTCATGCAGACCAGCACAGCATAGATGCCACCCTCCCTGGCAAAGAGTGGCCGCCACTCGTGCTTGGTCATGAGGAGGTAAAGGAGGCGCAGGGCCTGCACCACCACCATCTTCTCTCCCACCTGGTTGGTCAGCAGCTCCACCAGCATCTTCACCAGCTTCTCTCTGATAAGAGAAGAGACATTGGGGATCCCCATCCCAAGGAGTCTTGCCTGACCTCCCAGCCATGACACCACTGGACTCCCTGACCAATCCCATCCACCAAGATCTAATCCATCCTCTCCGCCCCACCTGCTCTCCCTACCTCAGTCTCACCCCAAGCCCCTCCCCTCTGCATGTAACTGCCTTTGGCTCCTCAATTAATGAAGGAGGCAGTAGAAAAAATGTTTACGAACTCTGGCACATCTTTTCAAATACATCTATAAATTCGAAGTGACACTAATCAAAATGCCTAAAAGGCGCGCACGCGCGCGCGTGTGTGTGTGTGTATGTGTTTTAGACAGAGTCTCACTCTGTTGCCCAGGTTGGAGTGCAGTGGTGTGAACTCTGCAACCTCTACCTCCCAGGTTCAAGTGACTCTTGTGCCTCAGCCTCTTCAAGTAGCTGAGACTACAGGTGCATGTCACCACACTCTAATTTTTTTGTATCATTGTTTAGTAGAGACGGGGTTTCACTATGTTGGTCAGACTGGTCTCGAACTCCTGGCCTCAAGCAGTCTACTCACCTTGACCTCCCAAAATGCTGGCCTAAAAGGTTTTTAAAAACACTATGACAGGCAGATCTAGGTCTTGGAAATATTCAGAAAAAAACCATGGTAGCCAGGCACAGTAGCCTATGCCTGTAATCCCAGCACTTTGGGAGGCTGAGGTGGGCGAACTGCTTGAGCCCATGGCAAAAGGAAATGATAAAACCCTATCTCTACAAAAAATACAAAAAATTAGCTCACAGAGTGGCCTGTGCCTATAGTCCCAGCTACTTGGGAGGCTGAAGTGGAAGGATCATCTGAGCCTGGGAGGTCGAGGCTACAGCGAGCTGTGATCATGCCACTGCACTCCAGCCTGGTTGACAGAGTAAGACTCTGTCTCAATAAATAAATAAATAAAAATAGTGGTAGACTTGCCTATTATCATCAAAATATAAATATAAACTTGTAATAATTACAACCCTGGAACTGATCTAGGGTAGTCAAACAGATCAATAGGTGAGAAGAGAGATAAGGGTGACGTGTAAGCCAGTAAAAAAAAGGAAGAAGCATTTGAAATATAATGTTGTCTGTAATCCCAGCACTTTGGGAGGCTGAGGTGGGTGGATCACATGAGGCTAGGAGTTCGAGACCAGCCTGGTCAACATGGTAAAACCTCATTTCTGCTAAAAATACAAAAATTAGCCAGGTGTGGTGGTGGCACGGGCCTGTAGTCCCAGCTACTCAGGAGGCTGAGGCAGGAAAATCGTTTGAACCGAGGAGGCAGAGGTTACAGTGAGCCAAGATCACACCTCCTCTGCACTCCAGCCTAAGCGACAGAGCAAGATGCTGTCTAATAAATAAATAAATAAATAAAATGTTGACTGAGGTGGGAGGATTGCTTGAGGCTAAGAATTTGAAACCAGTCTGGGCAACATAGTGAGACCACATCTCTACAAAAGATTAAAAAAAAAAATTAGGTAGGTGTGGTGGCTCGTTCCTATAGTCCCTGCTACTTGGGAGGATAAGGAAGGAGGGTTGTTAGAAGTTAAGAGTTTTAAGCTGTAGGGAGCTATGTGATCTTGCTACTGTATTCTGGCCTGGTCAACAGAGTAAGACCCTGTCTCTAAAACAGAACAAAACAAAACACACACACACACACACACACACACACACACACACACACACACACACACGGTAATTTAGACACCTGGCTATCCATCTGAAAACACTGAAGCTGGAGCTCTACTTCCCAACATTTGCAAAAATAAACTGCAAATGAATTTTTAAATGAGTTTAAAAAAAAAATCATGGGTATTTTTGGAAAATATAGGGAAATATTTTTATAATCCTGGAAGAGAATAGATCTTTTTAAGTAGGACACAAAATCTAGAAGCCATAAAAAAGCTGAAAAATGTAGCAACAAAGTCTGAAACTCTAGCACGATGAAAAAGACACTATAAACAAAATTATAAGACAAGCACAGGAGCTAGAGAAAGGGGCCAGTGAAAATGCTGATCTGAAAGAAAAGGAAGAAGTGCCTGCAGAGCCCCTAGGTCACAGTGAGGGTCAGGAGAGAAAACAGCAGGCACAGACTCTTGCTTAACAGTGACAGCCAGGCCAACCGAGGAGGTGGCTCGGGAACTACGAGGGGAAAGAACACAGAAGGAGAACTTCTGAGAAAGAAGGAAAATAAAGGTACTGAGAAAGTTTTGTTTTTGTTTTTGTTTTGAGACGGAGTCTTGCTCTGTCGCCCACACTGTAGTGCAGTGGTATGATCTTGGCTCAGTGTAACCTCTGCCTCCCAGGTTTAAGCGATTCTCCTGCCTCAGCCTCCCGAGTACCTGGGACTACAGGTATGCTCCACCACACCCTGCTAATTTTTGTATTTTCAGTAGAAATGGGGTTTTACCATTTTATCCAGGATGGTCTCAATCTCCTGACCTTGCGATCTGCCCACCTCGGCCTCCCAAAGTGCTGAGATTACAGGAGTGAGCCACCACACCCAGCCAAAAGTTCTGTTTTTAATCTGTCTTTTCTAAGAAGCTTTATAATGACAACAGTGTGAATAAAATATGCTTTAAACAGATATCACTTTCTGTGGCCATTATTTATTTTATACTAGATAATATACAAGGGTAATACATATGAATAGATATAGAAATAAGTAAGGGTGTTCACCAAAATATTAACATTGATTGTCTCTGCCTTAATGGCTTTCAGATTTTTTCTATCAATCTCACTTGAATATGATCAGATAATTTTTATTTTCATAATTGTCTAACTTTTTTACTGTATGTATTATTCTATAACCACAAAATAAAGCTAATAGGATTTTTTAAAAAGACAAGCAAAATATTTAGAACATAAATAACAAAGGAATAACCAGAATGGCTATAAATCTATAAGAAAAAGGCAAAGACCCAATTAAAAAGTGGGAAAATGATCAGAACAGAATATTTACAGAAAAAAAACAGAACAAGTGTATGCAAATATGCCTAACTTCACCAGAACTAGGAAACTAAAACAAGGAGATACCAATCATTTAAAATGCTGCCAATTAGATAGATTAAAAAGATGACAATATTCAATGTTGGCAGACATAAGGGAAAACAGACCCATTAGAACGCTGCACTTGAACTCGGATATAACCACACTGCAGGGTCCTATGCAGCAGTAAAAGTAATGAGGCGGCTCCAAGCAGACTGATATGGGAATCCCTCTAAGACATTGAGTGGGGGCAAAAAACAGTTGTAGAAACACGTAGAATGTGATTACATAGACTAAAACACAAACTCAGAAATGCTCTATTTCCAAACACACAATTACAAATGCAAATCTATAGGATATAGCAGACTAATAATAGTGGTGAGAAAGGACTTTGGCCTTCCTATGTTCTTTTATATTCTTTTATATTCCTCAGATATTTTAAAATGAGAATGGGCATGGTGGCTCATGCCTGTAATCCCAGCACTTTGGGAGGCTGAGGTGGGTGGATCATCTGAGCTCATGAGTTTGAGACCATCCTGGCCAACACAGTGAAACCTCATCTCTACTAAAATACAAAAATCCTAAGTAGGTGGGATTACCAGGCATGGTGGTGGGCACCTGTAATCCCACCTACTTAGGAGGCTGAGATATAAGAATTGCTTGAACCAAGGAGGCGGAGGTTGCAGTGGGCTAAGAGCACGCTACTGCACTCCAGCCTGGGTGACAGACTGAGACTGTCTCAAAATTAAGTAAATAAATAAATAAAAATAAATAAGTAAATAAAATAAGAATATACTGTGTATTATTTGAATGATTTAAAAGTAAAAAGAAACTGTAAAAATAAAAAGAAAGTAGGTTTTAAGGTACTATGTGTAAAAAAAAAAAATAAACAATAAAAAGTAAGTAGGGACAGAAAAAAAAAAGAAAAAGAGCTAAAGCTCCATCTCTAGAGCCAGAAAGACCTAGGCTTAAATCCTGGCTCTATCTCTAAAACTCTAAGCAAGTGACTTAAATTCTCTAAGATTCAGTTTCCTTACCCATACAATGGGATAATAATATTACCAATGCTTCCTCAGGTGTTAGGTGGATTTATTGAGAGAATGCATGTAAAATACTAGCATCGTGCCTGGCATAACAGGAGTGCACCAAGAATATGAGCCATTAAAACATCCAACCCTCCTGCTCGGCTGCTCCTCAGGCTGAGCCTTCCCTCACCCCTAGCTTTTCTAATTTGTGATGTCATAACTCCTTTCCCACTACCACCATCCTTTGCCTACAGCTTCAACCAAAACCTCTTCCCTCCCCAACATGCTAACCTCAGCAATCTGTCAGGACGAACCAGAGGGTGGTCCCGCTCAGTGACCTCCTCCACAGCCTGAGAGAGGGCAGAGAGCCCAGAAAGCTGCAGGTTTGTGTCCAAGCTGGATATCTGCACAGTGGCCACAACCGCTGCCACATGCTGATCCAGGGAGCTGCGAGGACCGGGACCCCGCAAGGCTCTGGCCATTTCTGAAACGAGTGGGAAAAGGCAATGGCTAAGAGAATTGTGGCACCTTGAAGTTAGAAGTCTTTAAAGTCAAGCCCAGTTATCCTACCAACATTTAAATACATTATTGGCTACTGCAGCTTGCACAGCTTTCCAATTCCGTGTCAGGGATCTAATGATCAAACAAAGGAGATGAAGATACCCCAGAAAAAGGATGCTCCTTTTCCAGAGATACTGAAGGAAGGGAGCGCTGGTTAATTAAATACAATCAAGGTCAAAAGGAAGATGGACACATGGTTCCAAGACATTTCCCCCTGCAAAAATGACCTTACTCCATGGCTTTCCTTCTACCCTGACTATCCACTTCTATTGAGACCACCTAGGACTTGTTCCAATTGCTTCCTCCCAGAACCTGACTCACCACTGGCTGCCTCCTTCATCTCAGCAGGCAGGGTCATTCCTTCAGCCACCAGAAGCTGGTTAAACAGCTGCGAATCACTCTGTGCCATGGGGGGCTCAGTCCTTGTCTTGGTGGGCTCGGCCTCTGTCTTAGGGACCTCGGCCTTTGCTTTGGGGGACTCAGTCTCTTCCTCTGAGAAGTTGGCCTCTGACTTGGACTCCTCTTCTGGATCTGGGGTACAGGAGTGGCTTTGTGAAGTAGACAAGCTGCTTGGTTCATTAGGCAGCAGCCCATACTTGGTGTAGATCTGGGAGTTGAGCAGGTCATTGAGGGTGCTGCCCTCAAACCGACTACTGAGAATCTGCAGCAGACCCTCAGCCATCTCCACGGACACAGAGATCTCACCCAGGGCCTTTTCACCCAGGGTCTGTCAACAGAAGGGGTATACATTTAGAGACAAGCAGACACAAAGGTCTTGGGGACAGTAATGGGAAGGGTGATCACTCCCCACCATGCCCTCACACCTTCTACATACTAGACTCTCACAGCACTTGCCTCATCCCCCAGCAGGCCTCCTCCTAACTCTAACCTCTAGCTCCAGCCTTCCCACAAGCAGTATCCCCTATCTAAAACTCCCTCTAGAGAATCCCACCTCTAACCCTACTGCAAAACCCCCAGCTATCTCAGGCCTGTAATACCTCATCCAGGTTCTCCCGAAGATTCTGGAAAATTGGCTGCTGCTCACACAAGTCCAACTTTTTGATAAAGAAAAGCAGCTCCCACCACTCAGCCTGGGTCAGATATCCCACTCTCTCATTCTTCTGAGGTTCGGGCTGGAGGTACGGCAAAGAGTAGAGCCCATCCATAGGATTCCAGTCCCAGGAGGGAAATGCTGAGGACACAGGTATGGTGGGGATCAGCACCCCTCAGGAATGGGGTCCATTTCTGGACCCCTGGGGCTGCTCCTGGTCAGAAGTGGCTTCACCCCAGTCACTACTCCTCTGTTCAGAGACATGCTATCCATGTCCCCTCTTAGGCTCACCTGTGCCCAATACAGTAGCCCCTGCCCCCTTCACCACAGCTGCTGAAGCCTTATCCTCAGTGGCTTCCTCAGGGCCCAGAATCTCCAGCATGTGCCAGTGCACCCAGTAAGTGCGGCCTGTTGACTGCCAGAAAACCTGGTATGAGGGAGGAAGAAAGAGGGCAGAATAGAGAAGGCTCAACCCTCTGAGCCTTGGGCTGTGAAGGCCTGAAAGGACATGCCCAAGCATAGATTTGGGTCACACCCTCAAGACACACACCTGGCTAAAGCTGGGAAAAATCCCCACATGGCAAAAGGCTTCTTTCCCTTATCAGGAGTGGGCCCTGCCTCTTTTCTTAACCATGATGGTCTCTGCTCCCACATTCCTTCCCAGCCTCTTCCACCAGTGGTGGCGGTAGGGAGGCACCTCCATTTATCAGTTCTGCTTCCTGGGTGAGTCTCCCATGAACTCACAGCCCATCCACACCCCTGCCAGATTTTCTCAGCCCTCCAAATGCACCCCCGCAAACGCCAACACCCTTGTATCATTCCAATTCCCCAGGGGGGTTCTTCTTGGGTGGGCTGCAGGAGTCCCCTGTATGGAAGTCCCAGCTATACCCCACCCCAAATAAACTCCCAACAGTGTCTTACCACCCTGCGCTGCCCACCTGCACAGGCGGAATGCCATTGTTGCTCTGCCGGAACTCGCCCTCGTCCCCAGCACTGATCTCCTCATAATCATCCAGCATCCGCACTCGCATCCCCGGCTGCAGTGTCTGTTGCACATATTCTCCATAGCCACTACGGCTGGAGAATTCAGAGCGCTGGCGGAAAACCCACCCTTGTCTTCTGGGGGTGGTGACAATGGTGGGGAGTAAAAGGCTGGGGCCTGAAATGTAGGGCTGAAAGATGGACCTGGATGGCCGAGGAGGTGACGCGCCCTGTTCGCTGAGGTTCCGGGCCCAGCCCATGCTCCGCACCAGCTCAGAGATGAGGTTGCCCACAGCCATGCTAAACTCCAGCTCCCGCTGTCCCCGGCTTTTCTCTGTTGTAGCACATGGGGAGCTTTGGTCTCCAGCTCCCAGCTCTGGACTGTTATTCAGCTGATCCAGGAGGGAGGTGACACAAAGGTAACGCTTCACCAAGGAAAAGAGCAGCTTTCCTGGGATCTGTAAGAGACAATCCTTGGCACAGGTTCATCTCTTCCTGGCTTCCTTCTTCCCTTCCCCCCAATATCCTCTACTCTGTAGCTTTCAAACTTTGATTTGTGTAAGAAAGGCACAGGGAGTGTCTTCAAACACAGATTCCTGGGTTCCAATCTCAGAAATTCTGAATGGATAGGGGCTGGGAGGGAGGACATGAACATTCATGTTAACAAGTTCCCAGGTGGCTCTGGTGCTAACATAGAGTCCTGAACCACGTTTTCAGAAATAATGCCTTAGGCCTTGTACACAGCATTTCCCTACAGCTGGCAGCGTACCTGAGGCAGATGAATGCCCTCAAAGGCCATGCAGTGTTCTTCAGAGGATGTGGTTTCTGCAAACAGCTCCAGCAATGTATAACGACTGTCAAAATCCATGTGCTGCTCGATGCCATCTTGCTGGCTCAGTGACAGAAGGACGTGAGCCCGACTCCCTGTAATCCACACCCAATCCATATCTTCTCCTCCATCCCTAATACCTTCTCCCTGCCTTTTCTAGATTCTATCTCTTACCCCAGAGGCTTTCAAACTTTGGTACTAAGACTCACAGCAAGAAACACATTTTACATGGTAACCTGTTACACACATACATATAACTGAAACATATTATTTTATGCTACAAAATTTACCTACTAAGTGCTACACACTGATAACTTTAGTTTTTTTTTATGTTGGTTATAAACCACCAAATTGATTTCAAAACCTACTAATAAATCTCAATCCAGTTTCAAAAATACAGATAAGTCATATTCTCTTCTCTGTCAATGCACTGAGAACAAACCGATAAGCCAGAGGCTATCATTTTAGCCTCTTCATATACTTGAAATAGCCTATTAATCTATTTTTCCTTTGCATCAAATTGATATTCACAAAATACTAGGTGTTCTTACAGAGCTGGGAAATCTCTTTCTGCTCTTACTCCTCCTTGTGGCCCCATTTTCTCCATTGCTTTCCTTCTTCCCTGGCTGTCTCTTACCAGCATCGTGGGCTGCCAGAGCCTGCAGCATTTTGCCTGCACTCCGGCGGATCTGAGGCTCAGGATTGCACAACATGTGCATGAGCAGGTCCAGGGCTCCTGTCTCCCTGAAGACACCAGTAAGGGGCCCAATGCTGGCGTAGGCACTGAGCACATGGATGGTGTGGAGCACAGCAGCTGTGAGGCTTGAGGTCCCACTTTCTGCCAGCTGCCTGGCAGCCCTGCGTACCAGCGCTTGCACATCAGCCTCCATCTCTCCCATTGCCACTTCATCCAGGCCTCCTGGATCTCGAGGAAAGCTTCCTGAAACCCCAGCTGGTTCATGCTGAGGTCCCTTAGATAGTGCTCGCTCACCTAACAGCCCAGGGCAGTTGGCGTAGACCTCAGGAGCTGACAGCCACATGAGGATGTGCTCTGCTTTGCCTTCTTCCACACCCACTTTGCCCACTTCCCCACACTTCAGGACACTCCATCGGATCAGGTATTCAGGATGTCCATCATGCCCAGGCCTCTGCCGAATGAGTTCTTCAGGGTATGCCTGCAGCCGGGGCCCTAAGGGCACCATGAGGTCCCCAGCATGCCGTTCCCCCACCATCCTGACCTCCTGGGATACAAAAGGAGAAAGATAAGGCAGTATGAGAAAAGAAAAAAAATACATAGAGAGGGTGGAATCTTGACACACAGAGAAGGTGGGTGGTGATCGGTAGGCTGCATGGTAGAATTTAGGAGGCCAAACAGAAAAGGCAAAAAATAGGATGGAATAAATAGCTGAACATACTTTGGGATTTATAACAGAAGGAGAATAGAGTTAACACAGTGAGGGGATAAAAAGAAGGGGTTTAAGAAATGGAAGAGTTGGCTGGGCATGGTGGCTCACATCTGTAATCCTAGCACTTTGGGAAGCCAAGGCAAGTAGATCATGAGGTCAGGAGTTCCAGACCAGCCTGGCCAACATAACGAAACCCTGTCTCTACTGAAAATACAAAAATTAGCCCAGTGTAGTGGCACACTCCTGTAGTCCCAGCTACTCAGGAGGCTGAGGCAGGAGAATCGCTTCAACTGGGGAGGCAGAGATTGCAGTGAGCCAAGACCACACCACTGCACTCCAGCCTGGGTGACAGAGTGAGATTCTGTCTCAAAAAAATAAAAAAAATTTTTTAAAAAGTAGAGTTTACAAAAAGAGAATGAAAAGAATAATAGGCAAAGTAACAATAAACACAGTGACAGTTAATTAAGCAAGACAGTTTAGGCAGGATAGCAGTATGGCTGAGAGTTACAGGTTAGGACTTAGAAGGATAACATGGGCGGACAGGAAGGGCAGCAGCACATGAGGCATGGAGTCAAAACACGTGAGGAAAAGTAGGATAGCAGGATAGCAGAGGGGCGGGACAGGGAGTATAAACAACAGAGTAAAGCTACAAGGTGGATGTAAAGAGTGGGCCACGGCAGATGTAGAGAATGGAGATGACAAAAAGCTGGAATGTTGGGGCAAATGACTGGATAGGAAAAGTGTATTTGAGTCTTGTGAAAGGGGGAGGGGCCTAGGGACCAGACAAAATTATGGGAAAGACAACCAGGTCCCACCCTGCACTTATGCTGTATGGTAAAGATCTAAGTAAGTCAGGTAGATAAGATAGAGGTGGTAATCATGAGGTTAGGGGTAGGGAATGAGGTCAGGAGAGAAGCAATATTCAGAGATTTCAGAGTCAGATAAATGTGACTCTGAATTCTGGCTCTTTGTCTCACTGTCTGCATAGTTTGGAACAAGTTACTTAACCTCTGAGCTTGTTTTCTCTTCTGCAAGATGGTAATATTCATAGCTTATTAAATTTCATGAATTTAATAAGATCATGTATATAAAGCACTTGGAACAGCATGTAGCACATACTTCTTAGATGGAGGAGGTAGGAGAGCCATCAAATAAATGCAAAGTTATTAAAACTGATTGTAAATGGGAGTGGAATGATCAGGAAAGATACGCGTGATATGAAGCAATACAGGGGCAACAGAAAATGGAATAAGAATGAAAAGGTAAACCCAGATGAAGACATGGTGGTCAGGGCAGGGGTCATGTTGGTGTACAGGGACGGAAGATGAGAGTAGAAGAGGAAGGAGAAAGAAGGATGTGGACCTCAATGGAGACAGGGGCCCAATTAGGATGTGGGGCAGGCCTGGATGGTAACCAGCGACCTGCCAGCGGGCAACTGATTACCAGCAGAGGGAAGTAAAAGAATCGGATAGGAAGAGGTGGGGGTGTAACGTAGGCCTAGAAGAGCAACAATAAACTAAGGTGTGGGGTGAGGTCTGGACGCAGGGATAGGACCAGCAGATGGCAAGGTCAAGCCCAAGCTTGCTGAGCCGTGGGGAGGTGGAGGAGGCCAGCATTGCAGAGGGACCGGGTTTGGGGAGCGGGGTGAGGAGAGTTGGGGGAGCGGTCCAAGGAAGCCGAAAAAAAAACAGTAAATCTCAGAGAGCTAGATCTGGTTCCCTTCGTCAGCCCTACTGACAGTGGCTAAAGAACCGGGGAGGGGACAGAAGAAGGGGAGGGTCCGGGTCCGCGCAGAACTCTCCTCTCACCTCCCACCGCCCGGCTCAGCCCTCGCCGGGACCCAGCAGCTGGTCCCGCCGTCCTGGCCCCGCCTCCTCAGAGCTCCCTTCCGGGTCACACGGCGAGTGCACGCACGGCCGGGTACCTACGGGTCCCACCGCGGCCCACGCCGAGCGTGGCGGAACAGCTCGTGAGTCGAGCATGCGTGCTACCGCAGGCGACTGCACGGGGAGAGGGGCGTGGGGGCGCGCTACCGGCGGAGCCCCGGATCGAGATCACGTTGCTCCTCTCTCTGCAGCAGGAAGGTCTTTCCATCCAGTCAACTGTGAACCCCCGCTTCGCTTCACTGGGTTGCCCTCCTAATCCTCCCTTTCCCAACACAGAGATCATTCAGAGGAAACACAGTATCCCACACTCCCACCTTAAGGCTGTCCTATGACTTTTCAGTAGGTCACGTGCCCATGAGTTTCCCACACCCTTGAGCAAGGCTTTGGATTAGTTGTGTCACTTTTCCTATTAGTTAAAATTACTCCTATGCGTTGGCCTTAACACCTAACAAAGCCACGCATGGGAAGAAGATCCTCGACCCCGCAAAATGTTCCTTAAATTAAATCGTATAGAATTCAACAGCCCAAAGCACACGTTAGCATTACCGTTCTCACCAAGCAGCCCGGATTGCTACTCAGAGCAGCAATTTTAGGAGTTTGCCTTGCAGTCATACCCCCCTCCCTCCTTAAGTAGAAAAATAGAGCCAAAGACCCCACAGTCTGTGCACAAAAATGATACATTTATTGAAAGAGTATTTTTTTAATACAAAAGAAAGCTCTGTACATAGGACTGTGACCATGTCCACTATTCCTGGGTCAGCATCCCAGGGGAAGTAGAAACCACTGACATACACACTCACATTCACACACACACACACTCTGGCACGCACACACACACACACATACCCCAGAGCCACCGAGGAAGGGAAACACCAAGGATCGCTGCACATAAAAATGCCACCTCAACTCATCCCTGACACACGCATGTTCTCCCAAGGCCACACTCACACAACACCCATTATAAGCACTTTGCCTGATTCACTCGCTGGGTCTGTCTTTTGTGGGAAGGAGAGGAAAAATTCATCAAAGGTCTCCTCCCATGGGTGGGGGAGTAGGGAGTGAGTGAGTGGTGGTGGAGTGAAACAAGAGCAGAGCAAAGGGGCTGGGCAGTTACAGACCTGAGTCCCAAGCTCCCCTGCTCTCTGGCCCCTGATTTGCCATGCCCCAGCCTTGAAAGCCACCCATAAGCCCCAGCTATCTCCAGGAGAAAGCCCAGAAAGGTGACTTCCATCTTGGCACCCCAAATTGGGGCAAGACAGCAATGAGGGTTAGAGGTTAGGGGGTTCTCAAACATGTAGGCAAATCATCCCCTTGATAACTAGGCTGTGCGTAAAATCTTCCCCCACCCCTTCACCTAATCACAGAAGCCAGCTTGTTCCTACTGAAGGCAGTCGTAGGGGTTAAGAAAATTTCACCCCACTGCTGCCCTGTTTCTGAAAAAGCTCCCTTTCTGGATATAGGTGGCGAAGGTAGGCTCTGACACAGGGAAAAGACCCTCCCCCCTATGCTGCCCACCCTCAAGATCTACCCCAAAGGGGGAAGAGGGAGGTGGGGCATAGCCCCTGTACAAATTACATAAATACTGAGGTTACACTTAGAAAAATAAAGTCATTTTCTTCAAGGCTTTTTGTCTTAATTTAAAAAAGTTACAGTAGCTGCTCACTCCCTGGGAGAGCTGCCCATTTCTGGCTCCCCTTTGGCTGCATTCAGCCCAAGAGCTGCTCCCACTTCTTCTGACCCCCATTCCTGCCTCTCACCCCCTCCCAGACCCCACCCTGCTCACTGCAACTTGGGCCCCAGGCAGCTACAGGCCTGGGGAAGCACAAGGCTGCAATGCCCATGCGTGTGGCACAAATGAAGTCAGTTGCCTCTGCCTGACACCCTCCCACCCCACCCCGACATTTGGTCTCCCTCTTCCCTCTCCCTAGCAACAGCCCTAAAGGGCAAAAAGAGGCCCAGAGCTGTAGGTCACCCTCCCCACCCCGTTGGGGCATGGCCTGAGGGCCCCTCCCCCCGCTTTCTCCTGGAAACAACCCAGGACTGGGCAAACCCAGAATCTCCCCTACACACTGGCAGACCCCAAGCTTGTGGGGTGGCTCTGTCCCCAGGGGCCCAGCCAGTTCTGGGGAGCCCAAAGGCTCCCCAGGGAAGGGGAGTTTGGGCAGGGAGGGGGACGAGAAAAACGCCATAAAAAAAAGTTAAATATTTTAAAAATATATATTTATAGATTTGTTTTCACTTCGTCTCCTCAAATAAAAAGTTCAAAATCAACTTTAAGTAAAGCAGCTGGGAGGAGAGGGGGGAAGACGAGGGGAAGAAGGGAACGCTGGTGGTTCCCTCCAACCCAGGAGCCCCTGGAAGTCCAAGGGGAGTGGCAAGGCAGGGCAGGCGGCCCCAGGAACCTGCCCAGTGCACAGGCCCAGCTACTCAGGAGCTGAAGGGGCAGAGGGCAGCGGTGTGAGGGAAGAAGCCCCTGTCTCCCCAGCTGGCCCCCCGAGAGGCAGGGGCAGGGCTCTTTTGACCCAGCCTGTGGCAGACACAGGGCTCACCTGGGGTCAGCGAGGAGGCTGGCAAGAAGGCCCCAACTGCTTCCTCAGGGGAGGACACAGTGCCCAGCCCCACAGAAGGCCTGTGTGTGGGGAGGTGGGGCACGGTCCCATTGGGTAAGCTAATACTCATGGCAAACATCAAGCCAAGCTGGCAAGGGGGGTCCCAGGAAGGAGGACGGCCCCTCCAGCAACACAAACGGGAGGTGGGGCGGGAAGAAGGGGAGGCTGAGGGAGGACGGGTGGAGGCAGACAGGCCCATTTCTTTGGCTGGAGTGAGAGGGCTCAGTCCTGTGGCTGCCTGCCCGCTCCTCCTCCCCGCCTTCCTCCCGCGGCCCGTCAACATGTGTGTAAAGAAAACGTGAAAAGGCAACAATAAATAAGTGGTGCCATCCCTTGGCCATCTGTCCAGGGCGGCGGGCGGATCATTCACTCTTGGTGCTGTGGGCGGTGTCCAGGTTCACCACCTGTAGCTCGGTGAGGTTGCTGCTGCTCCCGGCCTGCTGCCCTATCACAGCCATCTGGAGGGAAGGGGGTGTATGAGGAGAGGCAGGGACCGGCCAGACAGCTCAGGCTCCCCCAGCTCCCCTGCCTGCCAACCAAGGCCTGCGCAGAAAAGCAGATGGGCTTCTGGGCTAGGGATTTCAGCTTTGATAAACTGGTAACAGGGTCCCCCAAAGTCTAGACAAAGAATTGGCTATCTGGGATGGGGTGACAGGTATCCCCACCTACCTGGTGGAGCTGAACTGCTGAAACAGGGATCTGCACTGTCCCAGATGACGCTGTCAGGAACACCTGGGGGACACCACCTACATTGGAAAACCACAGGAGATACTCAACTGTTTGTTGAAACTTCCTGATATTGGAGGAGTGGTAACAAATGCACAAGTGATGGGGGGAGTGTCAGATGGAAGTGCCAAAGGGAGAGGGTGCCAATGTGTCTGAGGGTGCATGTGGGTGTGAGCATCCAAGTGTGCATGGGTGTCCAAATGTATGTGTGAGCATCTAAGTCTGTGTTGTATTTGGGTAGAAATATTTGTAGGCATCAGTGCATGTGTGTATGTGTGAGTATGCGTGTGTGTATAAGGAAGGAAATGATCCTCCTTTCCTGAGCCCTGCTCCTCTACTCACCTGGTTCCTGGACCTGGCTGTGGGACACCTGCATGGTGGATGGTGCCTGGGAGAAGGCATTCAGCACGGTGAGGCTGCCATCAGCCAGGCCCGAGGTGGGAGCATACATCACCGCATGCGGGCTAGGGTACATCATGTGGCCACCCACAGTTGTGGGCACAGATGACGTCATGATGGTGGCGGGCAGCGTCACTGGTAAACACAAACATGTCAGCTCAATACTGGTCCCTACTGATACCTCCCATTCCACCCCTAGGAATTCCAGGCCTCCAGAGCCCTCTTGCCATTTCCAAGGCCAGAAGCTAGAAACAACTATTCCTCTGCTCCATCATCAACTTAAAAAAGTCTATTTTTTCTTGAACACAACAACATCAATCTTTAATTGTATCCTATCACATTGTACTATTCAACTGTCTATCTGCTGAATGCTCTAAGTCCCAAATCTTGGGAAAAACAAAGATTATGACTAACCTACTCTCAGGAAACTCAGATACTCCCCTTTTAGGGAGCTCTAACATCTCATTTTTATTTGTTCTCATTCTCCCTCCTTCTTAATGCACAGCTAACAAATTCATCTGTCAAACCAGCACATCTCAAATGCTAATGTGCATTACATGGGAATCTTGATAAAACACAGATTCTGATTCAGTAGGTTTAGGGTGAGACTCAAGATTCTGTATTTCCAACAAGCTCCCAGGTAATGCTGGTGTTCCCAGTCCATAGGCCACACTTCGAGTTATAAGGTTATAAATAACAAGAACTTAAAATTAACCTTATTTTAAGAGTATCTCATCATTTCTGAAATGTCTAGAGATATATGAGGGTAATTGTAGCTATTCAAAACCTATAAGACCCTAGCACAAAGAGAAAATTGCTAAGTCCTTCCCGATAATTAAGCAAATGTGTCATTGAGCAAGTAACTTATTTCTAGGCCTCTGGCTCCTCATCTGAATGAGAAGGTAGCTCCTAAATTTCTCCTGGAATCCATGGGCCCACTGCAGGGCAGGATTCAAAACCCAGTCATCCTCACCTGACTTTCCCATAATTATTAAGCCAAAAGCCTCAATCTCCACTTTAAGAAATCCCTTGACTTTAGCTACAAAAGGGTTACTGCTGGCACCTACTACTAGGCGTCGTGGGGGAGGCAGGCAGGGAGGGTGACAGGGCTATGAGCTATACCTGTCCCGCTGGAGGAGGTCTGCGTGAGGTCTGTGCTGCTGTCACGGGAGGGAGACGCTTGCTGTGGAGCCTGGTGCACTTGAATGGCCTGCACTGGGACCTGCTGGGCCACTGCCCCACCTGTAAGACATAGAGTCTTATTTGTGCTCTGTCCTGCCCAATTGCCACCTCCACCAAGTACCCATGGACACCCCAGTCCCAGGGTCTGGCACACTGGTTCCCAACTCCCATCACTATCTTTCCTGGGAGTCAAAGAGGCCCTTCATGCCCAAATCTCCCTCTGGAGGCTTCCATTCTCTGCTCTTGCTCATCCCTCCTCCTCCTGCCCTGGGCCTTGCCTCTCTTTTTTTCAGTTAACCCAAGAGCTGGCAGTAACCCATCAAGGACATGATCTGCCTTCCAGTCAAGGCAGGAAGTGGTGGAATGTCTACTGCCCTGTGGCAGTGGGGGCATGGGGCTGGGGTACCTAGACAGGGCCAGAGTATATGGTTGAAACTTACTGACAAGGACAGCAGGGGTCTCAGTGGGCAGAGGTATGCCTGCCAACGGGATATAAGAGGCTTCTCTCAGGCTCTGGCCCCTAGTCACCTTCCTTCTGAGCAGGGAAAGAGGTTCTCTTGGTGCCAGCCCTAAACACACTCTTAGCATGCTTGATTTGCCCCAAGGACGAATCTCTCCCTGCCCCTCATGACTCACCAGGCATAAGGGTGAAGCTGGTAGGCAGCTGCATAAGGCCCCCAGAGGAGACAGGGCCACTGCCTGTACTCTTCAGCACAGTCCCGTTGGCACTGCTGACAGCACTGGGGCTGACACTAGCAGACACTGGTGCCAGGTAGTTGGTGATGGGAAAGGAGGGGCCACTGCTGACTTGCATGGTGGTAGAGGTGCTAGGTGCTGTTTGGATGGTAGAGGTGGTACCCGGCAGGTTGGTGACCGTGAACGCCGGCTTCAGTGTGTCCTACACCAAGAATAAAGATGAAGCAATGAGCCTCTACCAGATCCTGCCTTTGCAGAAGCTTTGTGTGGACTGAGAACCCAGACTGAAACCAGTGAGCTTGGGTTCAAATCCCCACACCACCATTTACTTGCTGCCTGACTCTTGGGTAAGCTATTGATCTACCGAGTTACAGTTTCCTATCCATAAAGGGAGAATAATACCTAGGTTGCTGTAAGGATTAAATAGGTTAGCATACGTAAATCACTTGGAAAACAGTACCTGGCACATAAAAAGCCCAAAATAAACATTTGCTGTTCTTATGATAATGATGATGATTATTGCCATCATTATAATCCCGAGTTCTCTGCTCCAATGGACTGTGGTAATCTCACTGGCTGGGGAGTCAGGACATCAAGGCCTGTTCCTAGCTCTGGCAATGACCATTTATGTGACCCTGAAATAACCACTCCCCTTTTCTGAACCTTGGTTTTCCTCTATAAGCATGAGGGGGCTGGGCTGCTATGTTTTCTTTAAGAGTTTTTACAGCTCTGATTTGTCAGGCTTCCGATAGGAACTCTAAGTTTCTCAGGGAACTTAGAGTTTGAGAGCGATCTTGAGGGTCTGGCAATGATGCACATCCAAGATGTAAACTACCAAAAGAATGTACGCATCTAACAAATTTCCTGGGAATGAGACCTACTGTTACAAAAGTTTAAAAATTATTACAGATGATATGCTACTAAGAGAGGGAGAAGCCTACAGCACTGACTCTCCCCTCAGGGGGCCTTCGTTCTTAGAAGGGGAAGGAGGAAACTGAGAACCAAACCACCAAGCCCAGACCCGAACTGAGTCAACCAGAGGCTCAAAGGCTGGGGGTGGTTCGGCACGAGTCCTTTGCTAAGCAGCTGGGCCCAGGACTCTTGATTGGCAGAGGCGTTGCTAAGGCAAACAGTGCCGCTTCCTACCATTGGCCAGTTAGTTAAGCGCTACCCGGAAGGTGGAGCTCCCCAGACAGCAAGGGAGGAAGCCCCACCCCCTCTCCTTACCGGGAAAAGGAAGGGGGAGGCGTAACAGCCCCGGCATCCCTAGCAGCAGGCGAAAGCGCTCCCTAACTGCCCAGGCCCCCAACATCCTAAAGAGGCAGGCGGCAGGCTTGTAAGGTAGTCTCCGACCTAGTCAATCAGCCTGCCTGCCGAGAGTGCTGAGTTCCCAGGACCCCGGGAGCAGAGTGCTCGCTTTCTACTCCCAGGCGACCCAGCCTGGAGGGCTGGGCTAAACTACACCCCCGCCCCTAGTGGGGAGACAGCTGGCGGGAGGAATGCAATGGCCCTGCCAGGCAGGCGGGCTGCGGGCGGGAGGCCGGCGTGGAGCCCGAGCGGGCCTTATATGGGCACGGAGGCCGCCCGCTTATCTAGGGGGCCGGGCTCTGTCAGGAAAGCGAGGATGGACACCTGTCCCTTAGGACGAGGGTCGCTAATCCGGCTCCACTCTACATCCGTAGGCACCTATCCACCTGTCCTGGGCCAGAGAGGGAGAGGAACCCTCTTCCCTTCCCTCCTCTCACACAGGCAACCCAAACACACCTTGGTCTCCCCACTGCTGTCAGATTCCGACACCTGGTAGGTGAGATCTGTCTCTTCAAAGCCAGTGGCACTCATTCTCTGGTCTGTTGTGGGGTCTGAGCGGGGTGGAGAGTCTGGCGAGTTGAGGCAGGTCTGAATCAGTGCCTTGCCGGTTTCACTGGTGATCATGGGCTGCAGTTTGCGGGTGGCAAAGGTATACACATGGCCTGTCTCACTGGCCACCAGCAACAGCACCTGTGTCCCTGTCAGCGTGGACAGCTCATAGGCCTGAGGGGTGAGGAGGGAGACAGGCAGGTCAGCAAATTTTTAATCTCTACCTTCCTTGGGAAGTTGGAAAAAGAAGAATTATACAGTGATCCCCGTTCCCCCATTCCCATAATGACCTTCATCTCTAGTGACTCTGGGGGCAGAGTGTCCTATCAGGATCTCTGGAAGCAGCAAAACTACCCATGCTCCTCCTTTGAGGAGTAGCCCCACTGACCCGTAGATACCCCAAGCAAACAGTAATAGCTGGCCGGTGGTGGAACATACAACCTCAGGGGATACGAACGAAGGACCCAGCTAGCTGCTCTCCAACACAGCTTAGAGTCTGGAATGTCCCAGAGCCTCACCCCTCCTCACTGTCACAGGGACCAGGATGGATCCCTACCTACCACAGTGGAATTTGCACAAGACAGTGATAGGGGACCACTCAAGCTCCAACTGTTCCATGTTTCTTTCCAGAAACTGTACAGGCTCCAACTTGTTGACAGCCTAATTTCTCCTTTTGTCCTGTAATACTTTACTGCCCTTTTTTCTTTGTCTTGGGAAGAAGGTTATGAAAGGAGAGAAGAGAGTTTTCCTTCATTAATTACCTCCCCCCACAACCCTCTCCACTGATGATCAAGTGATAAGGGACACTGATACAACAGTGTCCTGAGTGATGGGAGATGAGACCTAGATTAGTACTGAACATCCTGCCATGAGCCCAGGAAGAGGACCTTAAAGGATGGCCCCATGGATGCCATACCCTCCCAACGAAGTTCTACGAACCACCTTGGAAGCAGCTCTGGTTTCTACATGGGACAGAAATAAACACCAGCCAGTGTTCCCAAGGATCCAGCTCCTTGTTTCCCAATTCCTCTGCTTTCATCCCTTCCCTTACCTTCTACACCCCAAAATTACTCCTTTCCTCACCACTTTCACTGGCTGGCAGATGAGAAATTCCTAGGTACCTCTGCAAGCCTCCCTGACTTCCCCCAAACCCCATCCATGCATAGATTCTCCATAGGGCTGGAAACCCCACTTGTCCTAACTGCAGGAAATTCTGCAGCTGGTCCTGCCAGGAGCATGCGGTTCCCAGTGGATGCCATGAAAGACTCACGACCGGCGCGGGACTAGGTCCCTGCTGCTCAGGGCAGCACCAGTTCTCCTGCCCGGCTCCCTTACCTGGTTCCTAACCCTGCCTGTCCTTCGAACAAGCACTACTCTTGTGGTGCCCGCTTCCTCCCACACATGCTCGCTCATTGTTGTCATGCAGCTCCAGCCTCCTCACCTCCATACCTTCTCGTCCGCTCCCTGCTTTTCCGGCGCCCTCCTCCGAACACCAGAGTGCACAGGACCTACTGATCCCGCTTCTCTTTATCCACCTCCTTGGCAGCCTGGCAGCCTCGAAGCCTCTCATGACCACTCCTCACCCCTTCACTCAGCAAGAGCCCTCTTCCCCTCGCGCGCCGGTCACTCCCACCTCGGCGCCTTTCCCCACGGTTCCGGGTGTTCGCGGGATCTCCCCTCTCCCCACATTTCCCAGGCGGCCCCTCCCCTTCGGCCCTCCCCGGGCAGGAGCCATCCCCTCCCACATACCTCCAGAGGACTCGCCGCCTCTCACCTCCGCCTCGGCTCAGCCTTCCTCCCGGGCTCCCCCTGTGCATCCCCACCCCTCCCGGCCTCCCGGGCCCGCCAGCCCGCCGGCTTGGTACCTTCTTCATGATGCCCGTCTTCCTCTTGCTGAAGGTCGTGTAGCGCCGCAGCTTGTTGTCGATGAACTCCATCTTGATCTTCACGCGGCCCCGGGTCTTCTTACCCGGCTTGGCCCCGCTCACCGCGCCGCTCACCGGCCCGTAGCCTCCGGTGGCCGCCGCCGACGCCTCGGGCCCACCGACCACCATGCCGATCTCCATCTCGCTCAGGCTCCGCTTCAGGCCGCGCCGCTCAGCGCCCAGCTCCTCCTCCTCGCCCGACTCCGAATCGCCCTCGCTGCCGCTGTAGAGGGCCCCCGCGGTGGGCGCCGGGGTGGTTGCCGCCGCTGCCGCAGCCTCCCGCTCCAGGCGGCCGGGCCCGAGCCCCGCGCCGTTCCCGGGGACTCGGCCCCCGTTAGCACCGCGAGTCCCGCCGCCGCCGCCGCCCGGCCGCCCCGTCGGGGTCCGATTCAGGCTGCCCCCCAGGGCCGAGCCCCGGCCCAGAGTCGCCGCGGCCCCAGCTTGGCTCGGTAACATGGCGCTCGATGCAGGAGGGCGGACGGGCAGTCAGCGAGGAATCGGAGACGCCGCCGCCGCCGCCATCGGCTTCCCGGCTCAACCCGGCACTCCCGCTGCTGCTGGTGCCGCTATCGCTGCCGCGGCAGCTGCTGCGAACCCGGGGCCCCTGCACGCCCGGGCCGACCTGGGCCCTCACTTTCCTGCCCCTGTGGCCCGGGCTGCCCCAGGCCGCGCGCAGCGCCCCCTGTCCGTCTGCTAGGGTGGCGCGCCCGGCGGCCGTCAGCGTCCCCCGGGGGGCAGGGGCTGCTGGCCGCGGCCGAGACAGCGGGTGGAGGGGGCCGGGACCACGCGCTGGCGGCGGAGGGATCCCCCGACCCTTCCCCCCATATAAAGAGATACAATGTTTCCTTTTATGGCGAGGCCGCTCCTTATATGGTGAGCCCCAGCGCCCCCGCCCCATTGGTCCGCGGTTCCGGCACCTCCGCTCCCCATTGGCCCACGGGTTCGCTTATTTGCATAGACATACCGAACTCGTTGCTGTCATCCCGCGTCAGACCGCGACTCCAAGAAGGGAGGAGCCGACGCCTCTTAAAGGAACCGGAGAGCAGGCACGACTCCGCCTCCCTGAACCCGAGAATGGTAGCATGGTTTGGGAGGCACCGGCGGAGAAGCAGCCTGGGAGAGGACTGGAGCGCAGTCTTGCGGAGGAGAGGGAGCAGCACTAGGAAATGGGCATCGGGACGCTGGAGGCAAACACTGGGGAAACCCCTGGGTGGATTGTGGGGTTTGCAGTAAAATTTAAAATGCAGCTCAGATTCCAAGGGAGGAGTGTAGGGATCGATTGGAGCACTTCCTCACACCCTCCTGAGGAAGGCACAGTTATTGGCGGAGCGGAGGGGGCTTGGGTCCCCGGTGTCCAGACTTGTCGCGCCCCGGCCCCTCCGCTCTAACTTTTCCCCTCCCCCCCGACTTCCCTTCCTTTTCCCTCGCTTTTGTAGGCGACGACACTTTCCCACCAAGCTGGTTCGCGAATCCTCATTCATCATCCTCTGCACGGTGGGGTCTTTGGCAGACATACATCTGGAAAAGGCGGGTGGAGGGGAGGGCGAGAGACAGATCGGCCTCCCACTCCCCGAGGCGGGCAGGGAGAAGAGACGGAGATCAGTGAAGACTTCCAGCTGCAGGCTGGGCTGGGGGGAGGGGGGCGTCCCGAGGATAAAGCCCACCCTACCGCCAGTGCAAAGACCGGGGAAAGTGTAGCCTGACAGAAAGTTTAAGCAAGAAAGCACGCTCGCGCACACACACGCACATGCACACCCTTCTCTGGAAAGCCCATTGGAGGAAAAATAAATTTTCTTCTTCAGACATGGTATCGCTCTGTCGCCCAACCTGGAGTGCAGTGGCGCGATCTTGGCTCATGACAACCTCCGCCTCCTGGGTTCAAGCGACTCTCACGTAGCTGGGACTACAGGCGCATGCCACCACAGTGGCCTAATTTTTGTATTTTTTTGTAGAGATGGGTTTTTGCCTTGTTGCCCAGACTGATCTCGAACCCCTGGCCTCAAGCGATCCTTCCCCCTCCGCTTCCCAAACTCTTAGGATTATAGGCTTGAACCACCGTGCCCCGCAGAAAAAAAATTTAAAGATTAGAACTGGGGTGCTGCAAAGCCAGGTTCAAAGTCTGGGTCTGGATGTTTTTGCCAAAGCAGTGAAAATAGCTTGGACTTTGCTGTTAGAGAATTATTTAAATCTGGAATCTGCCTCTTGGTAGCCCTGTGCCTGGAAACAAGTGATCTGATATTTCCAAACTCCATATTCATCAATGTTGCTATCCATTCCATGAGATTTTTGTTGTTGTTGTTGTTGAGACAGAGTCTTGCTCTGTCGCCTAGGCTGGAGTGCTGGCACAATCTCGGCTCACTGCAACCTCCGCCTCCCAGGTTCAATCGATTCTCCTGCTGCCTCAGCCTCCCAAATAACTGGGATTACAGGTGCCCGCCATCACACCCAGCTAATTATTTTGTATTTTTAGTAGAGATGGGGCGATGTTGTCCAGGCTGGTCTCAAACCACTGACCTCCTGGTCACCTCAAGTAATCTGCCCGCCTCAGCCTCCCAAAGGGCTGGAATTACAGGTGTGAACCACCATGTCTAGCCTACTCCATGAAATTCTTAATGCAGATTTAATGAGATAAAGGCTAAAGGGCAAAGTAATTGGTCAGTGCTTAGGCAATAGGAATTACCTGGAGTAAGTCATCTCATCCTAGCATCTTCGAATGTTTAAGGGAATAGGAGACTGATTATTCCTGCCGGAAAAATTGGGAGGATTTAATAAAGCAGTTGATTGTAACCTATTCATTACTAGTAGTGGTAGTAACATCAATTCAGTATACTACAATTGACATTTAAAATAATTAGTGGGTATCACAAAAAGCAAAGTCAAATATTGCTGCATAAAACATTTGTTTGCATTATATATAAGTTGAACCCTATAAAATTACCATTTTATAGGTCAAGAAGGTGGGATATTGTCAGTTTCTTATCATTCAGTGTATGTGACAATATCAACTGCATTTCTTACTATAAGTCACGATCCAAAAGCTTTGAGAAATACTGAAATTAAATATGTGCAAGTGATCAGTAAAATATAGTGTATATAATGAATAAAACATAGCATGTATTTTTTGTAAGATAGAGATGAGGTCTCCCTATGTTGCCTAGGCTGGTCTCAAACTTCGGGGCTCAATCTATTCTCTCACCTCAGCTTCCCAAAGTGCTGGGATTGAAGGCCTGAGCCATGGCGCCCAGCCCCCAATAGTTTTAAAGAGGTTGCCCCTCCCCCCACCAATTTACCCTTTACCACAGGTACTTCAACATATGGAACAAGTTAGCCCAAGAGGAAGAACAGGTCAAATAGATAAATAGGTTCCAGAAGGGTTTTAGGGGCCACAAATGATGCTTGGGGTCATGTTTTGTCTAAGCACCAAAATATTACAGCCAAAGCCCTGGGATTTCATTCCCACCTACCCTCTAAAGACTTTTTCATTTGAGCCTCCTAGTTTAGACACATGCAAGGGTGACATCCCTCAGCAGGGACAGACAACTGCTCCCTGCCACATCTATAGGGGAGCTCCTATAGAGCAGTTGTCCGTGAAGAACACAGTCCTTAGCTACCCTCCAAATAGGCTGTCCTCTCTCCAATTTCTCCCAACTCTTGGGTCATTGCAAACCAGTGTTAGTGTCACAGCTTCTTTGTCTTCTTAGGATGGCCCAGCTTCATGTCCTTTGTCACCACAGGGAGTCAGGAGGAGATCTATACCCACACCAAAAGCATTGCTAGGGATAAAGTCAAAATCGAAAACTCTCATAGATGTGTTTTATTTGGACCTTATAACATTTAAAAATCATGAGAGTTTACATAAAAATCTGAATACCTGGCCAGGCGCAGTGGCTCACGTCTATAATCCTATACTTTGGGAGGCTGAGGCGGGTGGATCACTTGAGGTCAGGAATTCAAGACCAGCCTGGCAACATGGCAAAACACCATCTCTACTAAAAAAAGCAAAAAATTAGCCAGCCATAGTGGCACACGCCTATAATCTCAGCTACACGGGAGGCTGAGGCAGGAGAATCACTTGAACCTGGGAGGCAAAGTTTGCAGTGAGCTAAGATGGGGCCACTGCACTCCAGTCTGGGCTACAGAGTGAGACTCCGTCTCAAAAAAAAAAAAAAAAAAATCTGCATATCCAACCTCTCTAAAAAAAAATCGGAATTTTTGGTAATAATGGACCTAGGTACCCACAGGAGCATTGTCACCTGGAGCCGATGGCGGCCATAGACCCCACACAGCCTACTGAGCTCAGGGAAGCTCCCTGCCTGGCTGCTCTGAAATGGGAAGTTGAAATGTTCCTCCAAAAAACCTCATCAGAGTAGGCCTTTGCAACAGAGGGGAACTCCTGTCCACCCCAGACCACGAAAGGCCTCTGGAAGTGCATGAGAATTTCAGCCAGATCCCTCACACCACACAGATTCCACCCAGACCTTTCTTTCTTAACTTTTATCACCCAAGTAATAACAAAACAAATATTAAGGATTGCTTTTAAAAATTACTGTTGGCCAGGCACAGTGGCTCACGCCTGTAATCCCAGCACTTTGGGAGGCCGAGGCAGGTGGATCATGAGGTCAAAAGATCAAGACCATCTTGGCCAACATGGTG